CTAAAACGAACAAGCCCTATGATTAAATTTATAATGAAACAGTTAGTTACAAATACGTTTACTGGTTGAAATTTGTTTTACTGAAATGGCCTAATTTACACAATTATTTTCATGCAGAACTTCATTATTTATCATCAGCATTCACAAACGTTATTTAGCTTACTAAGCAGCACACATGTCCAAAATACATTGAAAGGATATCCAGTCCTGTCGTCCCAAAACCATCTACGCGAGGGTGTACGAGGGTCTACGCTACTGGGTGTCTTTTGGATATGCCATCTGGGTATGTATTTAGTTTAGTTTATCATTCTAATACTCACATGCATTTTCTTCTATATTTTTGAGTAGATGTATTGATTATTTTTTGTACTTTCAAGTATCCCTCATTATTATTTTTTTTGTTTTTATTTTTACGCAAATCCTTATACATATGCAATATTTCAGAGGGTAACATTCGATCTTCCTGAATATATAATATCCGCAGTATTCTAATAGCCTTGTACACACTTATATCCAATTTGAAGGACAACTTGACGAGTATATGCTGTTTAGATTCGCACGACATGGCTCCAACACAGAAAGAGTACGCCTATACAATATCCGGAGTAAAATCACACCACATTAAATCACTGATGCTAATCGTATTACGTTGATTTCTATCATATGACAGTTTTCAGCTATTAAATTGCATACGCATTTACTAATCGGTGTACAATATCTATACTCTCTTGAAGACATCGTACATACCACTAACTGAATGACAGAAGAAAATAAATAGTTTGTCGGTTTGGAGAGGAATTTTATTTCGAAGTACAGCAGGTAAACATTCCAGACGAAAGATTTCCGCAGATAGTTCCTTTCTCACACGAAAAACTCGTCACAGAAAATTCTTCTAACACTATAGATCACGAATGTCCAACATCCGACTTGCGGATCGGATCCGGCCCGCATTCCGAAAGATGAAATTGAGACTGGTACTCGGAACTAGACACTCTTTTCGAACTGATTTCTGACGATACCTGCTATACCCCCACTGTCGCTCGAGGCTCAACGGCCGAACCGCCGATCGCACGTCTAATGTTATGCCTCAGGAGTGTCCCTATATAAGAAATATGTCAGGATTGTATACCTTCCGCCAAATCGTCATTAAAATTTTCCTTGCTATTAATTTGGTGGTGATCTCTGGGCAACGCAAAGAAGACAATAACTTGATATTAGTCTGGCCCGCAGGCAATGGTAAAAATTTGAAATCTGGCCCCTCGGAGAAATTAGTTTGGCATCCGTGCTATAGATCATACATTAATAATATTTTGTAGATTTTATATATCATCTTACATTTATTTTATACTGTTTATAAATTATACTGATATAATTTATACTGTTTATAATGATACTGATTTATTCTGTTTATAAATATATAAATACTAAATAGCTGATGCAATTATTTGCAAAGATAAATAAAAAAAAATTTTAAACGAGACATTGGTTTTTTAAAAAAAAGTATGCAGTTGCATGTTGCAAACTACATATTTTTTCTTGAAAGCAACTATGTGTTTTCTTTATACCAATTGATTCGTCTCATTATTTTATGCATAAAAGTATTAAGGTAAGATTCCCGAAAATTGAATATTTTACAAGATATTTTGTATTTTATGTCAAAATACTGTAATTTACAAGCCTCATAACTCGAAAAGTACTTAATGAAAAATAACTTCATTATAGTGTTTTGAAAAGCTCTTGACACCAGCTATTAGATTTTGGAATCAAAAATAGGGGTATCCATTTAAAAAAATAACTCTGACCTTCAAATAACCTTGAAAATCAACTGCGAGGTCAAAGTCAAGGTCACTATCAGATAGATCCCTCGAAATCATGCAAATTTCGTCTGAGTCATTTTTTTGTACAAGCACATCCCTACGTTTTAAAAGGGTGGGACGGGTGGTCTGAAACACCCGGTATATGCATGTATTATTTTATTAATTTCGTGATTAATTCCATACATCTTTTTCGCACGTGGATAAAAAAAACGTTTTTTTGATCGTTTCTTGAACGTTTTTTGTCGGAAAAATAATGTTTCTTTTATCGTTTTTCGGATTGACATTTTAACCAACGAGAACTTTTTAAGAACCGTTATAAAATGTTTCGAAGGAATATTTGTGAAACGTTTCTGAAAAAAACATGTGCTATCTGGGGTACTTTAATCTTTAGAAAAATCTCTAAAATTTTATTAAATGGTTTATTTGACAAACATGCATCACCCAACCTGACCCGGCCAATGTTCTTGCTGGTCATCCATATATGTTCGTCAATTATTCTCTTTGTTATTTATATTTACCCACAAAGTACTTTCCAAGTCTCGCAGTTCGCAGTGCACAAAAAGACACGCAGTGTGTAAAATTGTTCCTAGTACAACGATCTCTGATGCAATTTTTCACAGATAACTTTTTTGAGGTACGTTATATTTGTTATATACATAAAGAGCTCTTTATGATGAAATCAAAATGAATTCAGAAGTCGACATATCCGAGTACATCATGAGCACGTTCTAACTACCTTCTGATCTGAATTTATCAACTCAAAAAAATTTTTGGAACTCTTTAGTATTATATGAGGTCATCATGCTGTCTGGGTTATATATTTGGCTTTACTCAACGCTTGGAGCCGCTCTATTATGTAAAATTCGATATTTCATATTGCATGGCCTAATATAATAATGCAAAAAACAGTAAACATAAAATTATGTAACCAGCTGCTGACTTATATCGAAGTATAAACGTAAAAATAACGCGAAAGTGTTAATCTTTCTAAATATGTTTCTAGTCAAACTTAAATATTATGTTCGTATTTATATTATTATTATATTATATTATTATATTTTTATAAAATGATAGGAGCAAAAAGAGCCAAACCGCTAGATTTCAGTGCGAACGAACTTATAGTGTGTTATAAAAACCATTAACATACACATTATACAAACGTTTCAACCTGTTATCAGGCTATTCTGTGTCAAATAAATGAAATAAAATAAAATATGAAAACGCACGCTGATCATTTACAATAAGATATTATACTATTATTATATTTTGTAAGAACTAAACCGAACCTAAACTGTACCGAATATAGCAAGTATAATGCAAATTTATGTATTAATGTTTTAAAATATGATAAAAAAGAGAGAAGGTTTCAATTTATTAAAATATAATTTTCTATTAAAATAAAATAAAGTTGTGTAAAAGAGCCGAAAGCAAAAAAAAAAGCAATACTTCTGAAACTCGTAAGGAAAGAAAAGAGATGGTTTATTAATTAAAATCAGGATGTAAAGAATACAAAATTATTGCATTTTATTGGATTTCACACGACAGCTATTAATATTAGCTCTAATTAAATCAATTTCTTCTTATCTATCTTTGTTGTATCAATCAAACAGAAAATAGCGATCGATAACAAAATAAATTAATCATAGCTTTAACAAAGTCTACGCCTGTGTTAAAGAGAGCTACCGGATTAGTCATCTTCTTTCGAGATTAGAGAAAGAAAGGTTCGCAAATGATAATAATACAAATCGTCTTTGTTAATGATTTGGACTATTAATCCCAGTAAATTAAGATTTTAAGGTAGAACAGACACACATGAAAATAGTTTTCTATTTATATTTGTATTGGCGATGCAATTGCGACGATCGATGTAACATATATTTCGTCGTATTTATAGCATTCGAGAAACGATCGATACTAGCTTTCAATCTTTCACTTCTCTTGGTATTTTTGATGTGAAAAATCGAATATTGAAATTACATTGTTTTTGACAATTACATTGTGAATTATATTGTGTTTTACTTATACCTTATTATCGTATTATGATTAATTTACCTGTTGTTTCTCCGCTTCGTTGCTGTTGGTCTCCGAAGATTCCATATCGCAGAGAAGAGAATTGGCACAGAGATTGTTAAAAGTTAAGCGTCTTCGTGACGTTGAAAACTTTACGAAAAAAATAGATTAAGAGCACGATGTGTCCGAGGAACAACTGCAAGACAGCAATTTTAACTTATCAATTTATCATCTATGTGACGTACTCGAACTCCTACCAGGGAGACGGCTTATCAGTTTTTATCGTTTGATATTGATATGTCTTGGCTTCTAATGTTATCTGGGCATCTGCCCAGACAGCATGATGACCTCATATAATACTCCTAAAGAGTTCTAAAAATTTTTCTGAGTTGATAAATTTAGATCAGAAGGTGGTTAGAACGTGTTCATAATGTACTCGGATGCGTCGACTTCTGAGCTCATTTTGATTTCATCATAAAGAGTTTTTTATGCATATAACCTAGTAAACGAGAAATTATTGAAAGCTCAGAAATAGGATTAAAAATTACTGAGAAGAATTTATTTACGATAATGCTGAATTTTATTTAATTCTTCTCAATAATTTTCAATCCTATTTCTGAACTTTCAATAATTTCTCGTTTACT